ACTAAGGGAACCTGACGAAGGGAACCGTACAAACCTGACCGAAGGGACTGACGAGGACCTGACGAAGGGGACTCTGACGAAGGGGACCTGACGAAGGGACCCTGACGAAGGGGGACCTGACGAAGGGACCGAAGGAAAACCTGACGAAGGGAAACCTGACGAAGGGGACCTGACAAGGGACCTGACGAAGGGACCACGAAGGTGAACTGACGAAGGGACCTGACGAAGGGAACCTGGACCGACGAAGGGACCTGGAGACGAACAAGGGACCTGACGAAGGCACGACTTCCCTGACGAAGGGGACCTGACGAAGGGGACCTGACGAAGGGGACCTGACGAAGGGGACCTGACGAAGGGAACCTGACGAAGGGGAACCTGACGAAGGGGACAGAAGGGTTGACCTGAGAAGGACGAGGACCTGACGAAGTTGGGACCTGACGAAGGGACCTGACGAAGGGACCTGACGAATCGGGACCTGACGAAGGACCTGTGACGAAGGGGACCTGACCTGACGAAGGGACCCTGACGAAGGGACCTGAACGAAGGGGACGCTGACGAAGGGACCTGACGAAGGGAACCTGACGAAGTGGACTGAACGAAAGGGACCTGACGAAGGGGACCTGACGAAGGGACTGACGAAGGGGACGAGGGGACCTGACGAATGGGAACCTGACGAAGGGAACCCTGACGGAGCGCACGCGGCGGCTCCCCTCTAACTTCCTCTCACGCCGAGACACGGTTGGCAGGCTGAGGGTGCGGGACAGACTGAAACGGACGTGGTCTCCGTCGGTCTCCGTCGGTCCCTCTTCTTCATTTCTCCAGAGGGCGTGCCAATATGCAAGGAGAGAGGGAAGTTCTCCCTTGCTCGGCCGACGACATGCTAATAAACTATCGATCCTTCCACAGCTCCTATAACTAACTCCCATTAGCTCATATAACCCGGACAGGTAGGCCTAAGCAGTATCGAATACCTGTAGAATGATCGAGCTTGTAGAGCGATGAGCATTAACTAAAATTATATACGAGAAAAATTGCAAAATCCTTCAAGTGGGATCACCACAACAAAAAAAAAAACTCCAGCGATAAAAAATAATCCTTAACCCCCCCCCCCCCCCCCCAACACACATACAAACAAAACAAAAACAAAACAAAACAACAAATCACACAAAAAAAAAAAAATCTCAGCGATAAAAATTAATCCTTAACCGCCCCCCATAACAAACAAAAAACAAAACAAACAAAACAAAAACAAATTAGCGTTAAAAAGGGATCCTTTCACGTCCCTCGAAACTTGGTTAACCACGTCAAGTAATTCCGCGTACAGTGACGATCCTTCTTCGTCTTCCTGCCTGTATCCCATTCTCCACCTCTCTCTCTCTCACCTTCCTACTCCTCCTCTCTTCCTCTCTTCGCCTCTCCGATCGGACTTGGGGGTTGAAAGAAAAGGATCTTCTCCACTTAGCTGCCTCTCACCGGTCTCTCATTCCCATTAGACACCTTATTCTCATTCTTTCTCCTCCTCCTCCGACTCCTCTTCCTCTTCCACTTCCTCTTACTCCTCCTCCTCCTCTTCTTCCACTTCCACTTCTTCCTCTTCCTCCCTTTCCTCCTCTTCCTCTTCCTCTTCCTCCTCCTCCTCCTCCTCCTCCTTCCTTCCTCCTCCTCCTCCTCCTCCTCCTCCTCCTCCTCCTCCTCCTTCCACTTCCTCCTCCTTCCTCTTCCTCCACTTCCCTTTCCTCCTCCTCCTCCTCTTCCACTTCCTTCCTCCTCCTCCTCCTCCTCCTCTTCCACTTCCTCCTCCTCCTCCTCCTCCTCCTCCATATCCTCAAGGGCACTCCAATTCTCACGCGTTCCTGCCCCTCTCCGAGGAGGACCCGGAGGACGAGAGGGACGGAGAGAGAAAGGGATTCGCAGAGCTAGGAGGGAGAAAGGGGGCGGGGATGATGGAAGGAAGGGGAATGTTGGATGGAGGGAAGGAGGGATAGATAGGATAGAGATATGGATGAGATAGAATAGGAGAGAGAGAGAGAGAGAGAGAGATAGAGAGAGAGAGAGAGAGAGAGAGATAGAGATAGAAGAGAGAGAGAGAGAGAGAGAGAGAGAGAGAGATAGAGAGAGAGAGCGAGAGATAGATAGATAGATCGATAGGATAGATCGATGGATGGGTGGGTGGAGCTAAGGGAGGGAGAGGGAAAAATAAGATGCGATGAGAAGAGAAGAAACAAAACGACTAGCTACTCCATGAACCCATGAGTCTTCATAAATTAGAGTATGCGCTAAACTGAAACTGCTTTTCAAAAATTCCTTAATAACATAAATTAAGGCTTCAAGAAAACCAGTCATTAATTCCAGAGAGCCCAAGACTGGTCCTAGACCGCACGACTTTACCTGAAGTTAAAGTTGGCTTTCCTTGGTTCCCGAAACGCCATGCGGCGCCTTACTCCGAGGCATCCTTTCGCTTCCCCCGAGGCTCCGGGGGACGAGGACGCTTCGGGGGCCTCCAGCAGATCGTCCTGGTCCTCCTGTTCTTCCTGTTCTTCATTTTCCTGTTCTCTAATAATGGCTATGATGTCGTCCGTGCTCCGGACCCGGGAAGAAAGTTCGATGCTGGATCCGAATCGTCGTCGACATATTCCTCTCCGTCTTCGTCGTCGTCGGTGTCGTCGTCGTCGTCGAGAGCGCTGGTCTTAGAGCCTCTTCTTCCTTCGAGGCTCATCTGGCTCAGCCCGGCGGCCTGGCACCCAGCCTCCGGCGTCGCCCCTGCCTCGTGCCGCTCGCCGCCGCCTCCCCCAGCCTCGGCAGCCATGGAGGCGCCTGTCGCTTCCCCGAGGCTTATCCCCGCCGCCTGACATCCTTCGAGGGCGGCCTCCCCGCTCTCACGCTCCTCTCCGCCGTCCGCCTGCGTCCCCCGGCCATCGCTCGCCTCCAGGATGCTCCTCGCAGTGAGACCCGCCTGGCTCTTCTCTTCGTCCTCGTCCGCGGCGGCGTACCTGAGCGTGCGTATGAAGTACCTCACGGCGCACGTCTTGTCCCGTGGCTCTTTCGCCATCGTCTCTGCTAGTTTCCTTTTAGGCTCTGTTTGGGAAACGGGATCTCCTGTACCGTCTCAATCTCATCACGTTCACGCGCACATGTGATTCCAATGCGCGACAGACATTTGTGTAAACGCGAGGGACGGCAGTGTCAGATACTTTCTCCTTGATCTTGGCGTCTTTAAAAGTGGTGAAGAATATCAATAATTCTTCCCCAAGTTCTGTTTCACGTCTTACCACTCAAAGATAACTCCCACCGATTTCCGTTTAGGCCTATCGCTACTTCTATTACAGGAGGCGGAACTACTACTCCCCTTCGACCCCCTTCGACCTCCCCTTTTGCTCCTCGCCAAACTACATCTTATAATCCCCTCCCTAACGAAGCCACGAGTTGGTCAACGCCGGAGAACGACCCGACTATTTCCCCGACAAAAAGGGGCGCACATACTTGGCGCGTGTTGGACGCGAGAATGCACACGCACGCGCGCACACAAACTCTCCCCTTAAATAACTAGGCGGAAGCGCTGAGCATTCCCTTCGAAATGTCACGCGGCGACAAATCACGACCCCGCACTCTGCCGCTCACTGGCACGCGTTTTATTCCCTTCAATCACGCTTAACGACCGCCCAATAACGCGACCCACCTCAGCGCCCCCTGCGTTCGCGCGCCCTTCACGGAGTACTGCTCTTAGCGACTGTTTATTGGCCTGTTCTCAAGGTCCTTCTTGTCCCGAGGCTTCATTCTCACGGCGCGAGAGGGCCAGGCCAGGGAAGGATATCCTACAAGTGGGTCGCCTCACACGACTCCTACGTAATCGCACTGTATGACGTCACGAGGTGTCGCAGGCGCGTTCTGGGAAGCGCTGAGAACACGCCTCATGTCCCAGTAAAGGCCCACTAAAGAGCCGTCCTTAGCATTCACGGGACAATTATACACAACCATACACGCATACAGACGCACGTGAACACAATATAAACAAACCGTGACACAATTATAAACAAACTCGCGCTCACACACACGTCCAAACACAAATGCTCATAAACAAACACGATGAATCACCTGCCCCAAGCTACCCCTCTAGAACGCCACATTTTCCCGAAGGAGCGCAGTGCCAGTCAGCCAGTCGCCCCCACCAAAGGCTGCAGAACATCGGGGAAACGGGAGAGCAGACAAAATAGAATAATAATGAACGGGATAACGGGAGAGTAGATAGAGCTGCCGACGGAGGGTGCTCCCAGCATCCGGGTATCGATAACCGAGCTCGCGCGTCATCCTCGAAGGTGGCTGGAGCTGTATCCCGCCTGGCACTCGCGCGAACAGCTGAGATCATGTGCGCAGAAGGATATGTGTCATTCCCGTCGTTTCACAACTTTTCTATAACTCTATTGTCGTCATTTTATCAGTCGTTATCATTCTCCTGATAATCGCAAACCACTATTATCTCATTCCCGCAGTACATACGACCAGACAAACTCAAATTGGGCTGATTGGCGCCCTGGGCACTCCATCGTTTTCTTTACCGAATACGCCCTTAAACCCCCGAATTCAAAACAAAGAAAATATTCGAGACGCTACCAAAATCCAATCCAATCCACACCAAAGCCAAGACCAAGCTCCGCCAAGTTATCTCTCCGCGCATGCGCAGGTCCCGGCCACGACGACACACGGCGAATCCACGAACGCCAATCACTCCTTGTCACCGCACCCCTTCCTCTCTTTGCTTCGTTTTTCACTGAACTAATCACGGAAATGTCCCCGTCCTTGCACTTGGGACGCGAAAATGCACGACCTTCGAAGAAATGCAAGCGCCCCCCCACCGAACACATCCGTGACTGTTCCTGCCGCGCACACAGCAAACCCAAGAGTGACAGATAACAGGACACTGATAACGACTGTCTGAACTACTGGTGGAAAAAAAGGCAAACGTCACCGATAAGAACAGGAGAAAGGGGAAAAATAAGTAGGAAGGTGATGTGGTGGAGAGGAGGAGGAGGAGGAGGAGGAGGAGGAGGAAAGCAGGAGGAGGAGGAGGAGGAAGAGCAGCAGCACAGCAGCAGGGAGCGAAAAGCAGAGAAAGCCACAGCACCTACCGCAAGAATACAACCCACCCTCCTTAAACAAAAATCACAACAAAAACATGATAAAGAAATGTCGCAGTTCGCCCTTAAGCACACTCGTTTTCCCAAAAAAAGAAAAACAGAATGTGGCCAAACCGCTAATCTGATCTTAATTAGTTTTTCTTCACTCCAAGATACTCTTTGTTGCTGCCGACGCGTCCACTTAAATCAATATTTCTAAAATGTAATATCATAATCATCATTATCATCATGACCATCATCATCTTTCTTATTATCATTATCATCATTATCGTTATCCATTATGATTATCATTGTTATTATTACTACAGATAGTTTATACGATCAATAAATACTATTACTATTACTATATTTCAGACATTAGAGACAGACAGACAGACAGAGAGGAGAGAGAGAGATAGAGGGGAAAAAGAAAGGAGAAAGAGAAAGAGAGAAAGAGAGAGAAGAGAAGAGAGAGAGAGAGAGAGAGAGAGAGAGAGAGAGAGAGAGAGAGAGAGAGAGAGAGAGAGAGAGAGAGAGACAAACAGACAGACAAAGAGAGAGAGAGACAAACAGACAGAGAAAGAGAGAGACAAGACAGACAAAGAGAGAGAGAGACAAGAACAGAAAGAGAAAGAAAAGAAAAAAAAAAGAAAAAAAAAGGAGAAAAAAAAAGACAGACACACAGAAGAGGGGAACACTCGCCATGCCTCAACCTGGCAAAACCCAAACTCCCCTCACACTCCCTCAGTGAGGATCGATAATGAGGAATGTCAGAGATACGGGCATCCCTCTCGTTATGGTCAGGAGGAGATCGATACCGGGAGGGAAGGGGGAAGGGGGGAGACGGGGGAGAGAGAAAAAAGAGGGAAGGGGGAGAGGGGAGAGAGGGGAAGGGGGAGACGGGGAGGAGAAAGGAGGGAAGGGGGAAGGGGGAGAGGAGGGAAGGCGGGAGAGGGGGGAGGAGGGAGGGAAGGGGGGAGAGGGGAAAGGGGGGAGAGGGGGAAGGGGGGGAAGGGGGGAGGAGAAAGGAGGGAAGGGGGGAAGGGGGAGGAAGAAAGGGGAAGGGGGGAGGGGGGGAGGGGAAAGGAGGGAAGGGGGAGGGGAGAATAGAAGAGGGAAGGGGATAGGGGAGAGAGAAGGAGAACGGAAGAGGAGAGGAGAAAGGGATAGATGGAAAGTGTAACAGAAATTGAGAAAGAAATTAGAGAGAGTTAAAGGAGAGGGTGAGAGAGTAAGAGAGGGAAGAGAGGTAGGTGAGAGTTACAGAAGGGAGAATGGAGAACGAAAAGCGAAGAGGAGAAAAGGGAAGGCGATAATATGTGGGAAAGGAGAGAAAATGGGGAAGGGAATTTGGAGAGATATAGAGAGAGGAGAAGAATCAAAATGATACGAAAGAAGATGTAAGACATGATAAGTGTGTGTGGGTGTGGAGAGAGAGAGAGAGAGAGAGAGAGAGAGAAGAGAGAGAGAGAGAGAGAGAGAGAGAGAGAGAGAGAGAGAGAGAAGAGAGAGAGAGAGAGAGAGAGAGAGAGATGAGAGAGGAGAGAGAGAGAGAGAGAGAGAGAGGAGAGAGAGAGAGAGAGAGAGAGAGAGAGAGGAGAGAGAGAGAGAGAGAGAGAGAGAGAGAGAGAGAGAGAGAGAGAGAGAGAGAGAGGAGAGCAGAGAAGAGAGAAAGAGAGAAAAGAGAGAAAGAGAGAACGAAAAGAGAGAAGCGAGAGTGGGGAATGGAAAAGAAGTCCCAAACTGCAATGACATTTCTGCACTCGAATCTTGTGAGACAATTCAGTGGACATGAGGGAGCGAGAGAGAAAGAGAGTGCAAAGGAAGGCGGACAGAAACAGAAGTGCAGAGAGGAAGCAGAATAAGGAAGAGAAAGGAAAACCAGGGGAAGAGAAGGAAATAACAGGGAGAGAAGGAGAGAGAGGAAAGGAGAGTAGATGGAGAACGAACGAGGGAGAAAAGGAGGTGGAGAATAAACCAGATACATGGGGGAAGGTCAAGGGCAATTGCAGAGGGATTAGGCATATAAAACAGACGAGAGTTTGACGAAGGGAATGTCATAAACAGAAAAGATAAGAAGAAGAAGAGAGAGAGAGAGAGAGAGAGAGAGAGAGAGAGAGAGAGAGAGAGAGAGAGAGAGAGAGAGAGAGAGAGAGAGAGAGAGAGAGAAGAGAGAGAGAGAGAGAGAGAGAGAGAGAGAGAGAGAGAGAGAGAGAGAGAGAGAGAGAGAGAGAGAGAGAGAGAGAGAGAGAGAGAGAGAGGCAGAGGCAGAGGCAGAGGCAGAGAGAGAGAGACAGAGCCAGAGAGACAGAGACAGAGACAGAGGGACAGACAGAGACAGAGGGACAGAGACAGAGGGAAGAGAGAGAGAGAGAGGGAGAGAGGAGAGAGAGAGAGAGAGAGAAGGGAGAGAGAGAGAGAGAGAGAGAGAGAGAGACAGGGAGAGAGAGAGAGAGAGAGAGAGAGAGAGAGGAAGGAGAGAGAGAGGGAGAGGAGAGGGAGAGAGAGAGGAGAGGGAGAGAGAGGGAGAGAGAGAGAGAGAGAAGAGAGAAGAGAGAGAGAGAGAGAGAGAGAGAGAGAGAGAGAGAGAGAGAGAGAGAGAGAAGAGAGAGAGAAAGAGAGAAAGAGAGAAAGAGGAGAAAGAGAGAAAGAGAGAAAGAGAAAGAAAAGAAAGAGAGAGAGAGAGGTACCGAGGAGAAGTAAAAACCATCCCCCATCAACGGCAGTGAGCTAAATTGTCAAAGCGGAAATGACAGCCTCGCCATCTTCCAATAAAATTTCATTGACTGATCAAACACTCATTTCTCCGTCAATCAATTTATGAATGACAGGGATGACAGGGAGAATGAGAATGAGAAGAAAGAAAAGAACGGCCGCTAGACAAACAACCTCAAAACACGGAACAAAAGAGAGAGAGAGAGAGAGAGAGAGAGAGAGAGAGAGAGAGAGAGAGAGAGAGAGAGAGAGAGAGAGAGAGAGAGAGAGAGAGAAGAGAGAGAGAGAGAAGTCGAGGGAAATAAAAAATAAAAAACACGGGGGAATGGAAAAATGAAGAGAAAATTTAGAGAGAGGGGAGGGGTAGAACAGGAAGAGGAGGAGGGGGTGTGAAGGGATAGGGGATGGGGGGGGTAAGGGCAGGTAGTAACGAGGCAGTCTGGACAGGTCACCCGATCGATAACTTGGATCAATTATAACGATCCTATCAGAACTTTTAAACTGCCCTTATACGGACTATGCACTTTGTCTGCCGAACGAGACTGTGCGCATGTCCGTTGCTATCATTACTACTTCTTGTTTCCTTATGTCCGCTTCTATCATTACTATTTATTGATGTCGGCTTCTATCATTACTATTTCTTGATGTCTGTTGCTATCTTATATCTATTTCTTGATGTCCGTTTGCTATCATTACTATTTCTTGTTTCCGTATGTCCGTTGCTATCATTACTACTTCATGTCCGTTTCTATCATTATTACTTCTTGTTTCCGTATGTCCGTTGCTATCATTACTATTTCTTGTTTCCTTATGTCCGCTTCTATCATTACTATTTCTTGATGTCCGCTTCTATCATCACTATTTCTTGTTTCCTTATGTCCGCTTCTATCATTACTATTTCTTGTTTCCGTATGTCCGTTGCTATCATTACTATTTCTTGTTTCCTTATGTCCGCTTCTATCATTACTATTTCTTGATGTCCGCTTCTATCATTACTATTTCTTGTTTCCGTATGTCCGATTCTATCATACTATTTTTCTTGTTTCCGTATGTCCGTTCTATCATTACTATTTCTTGTTTCCGTATGTCCGATTCTATCATTACTATTTCTTGTTTCCGTATGTCCGTTTCTATCATTACTACTTCTTGTTTCCATTCCTTCCTTCCGATTCGTTTTCTTTTATCGAAATTCTCGTTCACGGCAATTAAACTAACCAAAACGATATCGATTTATGATTTGCAATGAACGTCGACTATCGTGCGAATATGCTCTCTTTCTCGCGACTGTGGTAGCATGAATCTACATTTCCGATGGTCACCCTCATCGCTTACACACACAGCGAAAAGATCTACACGTACACCAACACGCACACAAACCGACACGCACACACGAGACAACAGGCAGATCAACCATCGAAACTGCTAGAAATCACACACAGACCCACATCCACGCGTCCTAACACCCATGCGCTGCAGACCACATGGCGGCCCCCGGTGTGATGTGGCCGCCCCGCCTCAATCCCCCCTCTTGGAGAAGGATATGCAGGTACTCCCCCCACCCCCCCACCCCCCACCCCCATCCCCAAGACTCCAGCACTGAGACCAATGCTACGCCACTTGGAAATCACCCGCTGACCAACCCCATTAGGAGGAGAGTAGAAATATGCAAAGCGGGTTTCCTTTTGGGTCGGCCGTGAATTCGAATGGTGCGTGAACGTTCGAACACCTTTTTCCCCCCCCCTTTTCCTCTCACATCTGTTCAAGGGGATGCGAAACGCCTCTCGAGAAAATGGACTTTGCAGGGAGCTTCCTTGCGTATCCTGAACACCTTCCCCCACCCCCAACTTCTTCCCTCTTCCTTCTTCTTCTTCTTCTTCTTCCCTTCTTTCTTCTTCTTCTTCTTCTTCTTCTTCTTCTTCTTCTTCTTCTTCTCTCTTCCTTTTCTCCTCTTCTTTCTTCTCTTCTTCTCTTCTGGACCTCTACGGTGTCCACTTGACCTCCATTTAACTTTCGCTTGGGTATTTCTAACTTATCCAACATTTTTTTTTTTTACTTATCCGTATACTTCGTCCAAACGAGCAAAGATTCTATTCCTCTCTTTCGACTCCCTTCACTTTCTTAAACGGTCTTCTTTATATCTACTTTTTTTTCCCCTCTTTAATCACATTTTCTCTATACACTTTTCTTGTCATTCCCTTAAACACAAAACACATCCTTCTCTCCTATTTTCCGCACAGTTTTTTTCTTTTTTCCATCGTGGCACCGGGCTGGTTTGGAATGCCATTCACTACAGCACGAGGCACTCCATTCCCCGTCTTGCCAGGAAGAACAGGGGCAGCCTTCTCGTGGCACGACCTCGTTCTCTCCGGGGCCCATACACCTGGCACTCCGGTAATACATAGAAAACAAAATAAAATCACAGCACGTTCAAACCAATACGTTTCTATAATCCGGTTATACATAGAAAACAAAAGAAAATCACAGCACGTTCAAACCAATACGTTTCTATAATCCGGTTATACATAGAAAACAAAAGAAAATCACAGCACGTTCGAACCAATACGTTTCTATAATCCGGTTATACATAAAAAAAAAACAAAAGAAAATCACAGCACGTTCGAACCAATACGTTTCTACAATCCGGTTATACACAGAAAACAAAAGAAAATCACAACACGTTCGAACCAATGCGTTTCTATAATCCGGTTATACATAAAAAAACAAAAGAAAATCACAGCACGTTCGAACCAATACGTTTCTATAATCCGGTAACACAAAAAAAATAAAAACAAAAGAAAATCACAGCACGACGCCAGTTACTCAGACACGTTCGAACCGATACGTCTCGCAAATCCGGTAACACACACACAAAAAAAGAGCCAAAGGAAAATCACGGCACGACGCCAGGTGCAGGAACCGAGGCACTGGTTCCTCCTCCTCTTCCTCCTCCTCCTCCTCCTCTCCTCCTCCTCCTCCTCCTCCTCCTCCTCCTCCCTCCTCCTCCTCCTCTCCACCTCCACCTCCACCTCACCTCCACCTCCACCTCCACCTCCTCCCTCTCCTCCTCCTCCTCCTCCTCCACCTCCACCTCCACCTCCACCTCCACCTCCACCTCCACCTCCACCTCCACCTCCACCTCCACCTCCACCTCCACCTCCACCTCCACCTCCACCTCCTCCTCCTCCTCCTCCTCCTCCGGACTCGAGTAATGAGCAACAAGGTGTGTACATTCGTAAGGTACCGCGACGCGACTGGCGCTGCTCTCGCTCGCTGGCGATCCCCGCTTTCCCGGCCGCTAACCGGATGTTTAGGGACATTCTTTTCTCTGATAAACCTTTATTTGCCGACCGTACTCCTGGGAAAGCCGGTGTCGAAAGCGCTCGGAAGAAAGGAGAAAGAGAGGAGAGGAGAAACAGAGAGGCGGAGGAGAGGAGAGAGGCGGAGGAGAGGAGAAACAGAGAGGCGGAGGAGAGAGGAGAGAGAGGAGAGAGAGGAGAGGAGGAGAGAAGAGGAGAGGAGAGGCAGAGAAGAGGAGAGGAGAGACCGAAGAGAGGAGAGCCTGAGGGGAGGAGAGACCGAAGAAAGGAGAGACGGAGAGGAGAGGCAGAGGAGAGGAGAAACGGAAGGGAGGAGAGACGGAGGAGAAACCAAAGAGAGGAGAGAAGAGACGGAGGGGAGAGCAAGGTTGGGAAAGTAGGAACTGCTGAAGGAGGGACACAGACTCGTTTCCCACACGATGCCAAGAGAGAATGCCGCTTCGGGAGTGCCAAACCTCCCACACCGCCGCTGCTAAATACCAAGTTTTGATACGTCGTCCAGCCTCGGCAACCCGCAGGAAATGGCGTGACTCATTTGTTCGAGAAAGGTGCCTCGTCGGCGGCACACGTGGCCCGCGCGCTTTCGCAATCCTTGGTAGCGGGGCCCTTCTATGTAGGCCTACCCGCGGAACTCAAAGACGTGAAATACCTATACATAAATAAAAACACACATTACACACGAACAAAATGCGCACACACACTCAAACTATCACAATGCTTTCTCACTCACTCTCACACTCTTACTTTCTCACACTCACTCACTCACACTCACGCACTTACTCTCACGCACACTTACTCACATTCACTCACTCTCACTCATGCTCACGCACGAACGCACGCACGCACGCACACACATACAGACACACACAGACACAAACACATACACATACATACACATATACATACATACACATACACATACATACACACATACACATACATACATACACATACATACACATACATACACATACATACACATACACACACACACACACACACACACACACACACACACACACACACACACACACACACACACACACACACACACACACACACACACACACACACACACACACACACACACACACACACACACACACACACACACACACACAATAGAGCTTTACAAACAGGCGTCCCCTCAAAAAACAATGCCCATACAACCACAGATAGCCATATGAATCAGATCCACTTATCTGATAAGATTGCATATCCCAATATCAGTATTTACCCATTCGTAAGTACGGCTGTTTTTTTCCGATTGTGGAATATATCTTCAAGGCATAATGACACGTATGACGTCGGTAATTACAGGTTCTAAACAAATACAATGTTTGGGCTTGACAGTCTGCTATTCATACATTGGCATGTAGGCCTATCCCTTGAAGCGAATTACACTACCGGGCGTATGTCAAACTGCTGATCTTACGTTCACTAGTAGTCGATTAAACCGTTTCGCTTCAGGATGAACATTCAGACGAAGAAGAACAAACAGAACAAGAATCCATTGCATTTTTTGTCCCCCCTCCCCTCCCCTCCCCCCCCAACGCAACCATCTGGCCGCCACACGCGCTTCTTCGGCCAAATGTTACGAGGTTGACCTTGGCCGTTCGCGAACCCACAAAACTTGTTCCGAACTTGTTTAATATCCCCGGGCCATAACGTGACCGCCGTTCTATTCCGGGCAACTTCGTAACAGGCACAAAGTTCAAGACGAACGCTGAGGGCGACGGTAGAGCCCGTTATAACAAGCAGAACTAGTATGCCTGATACTATCAGAACACCAAAACAAACAGGCGTATTACAAGATAAACCAAACCCCACAATCCTTTTATTAATCAACTAACTCGTATATCATACCTATATATAGGCACACTCCCCGACTTACATTCAGACGAATGGACAAACAAGCTTACATATAAAAACACACACAAACACACACAATCACAATATGTATTTCAGAAGGCATACCTCCTGTCTGAAAAAAAGACAGAAAATGTGACAATACCAACCAAACCAGCAAACAAGAGGGTGCAAGGGGAAACAGACCTTTTAAGGTGTAATTAACCTTGGTGATAAAAAATGCAGATCGGGTGCTAAAGAGACAGGAAGATATTGGGAACACAATTTGCATAACGATTACCTTAATAACTTTTCCCAATGAGTATGCTGCCTCTTGATAACTGTAATCACATATTAGCATCATTAACTATATGCATAAAAAGCACTTCAAAAAAGGCTCATTACTTACAACTAAACAGACAGACACGAAGGAGCAGTCGAACAGGAAACAGTTAAGCAATACAACTTCAGGGCCATTATCTGATTTTATATTCTCTCTTCATTCTATTACATACTCTTCTTACAAGCGTTTCCGAGTTACGGTACCCAGTTGTGATAATACAGACAATTTTTTAATTCCTTTTTATTAAGAAAAGAATGGCTGGGCGGCCTTTTTACAGAACAGACACTATATATAGACCACCAAACAGCCTTCTTGGAAACTAAAAGGTGTCACGGTTCACCCCCTACGGTTTCTAACATCATCATGGGAGGGGGATTAATATATTAAATCAAGGAAAAAAAACCAGTGGCACGGAATGGCGGTTACTTCTTCCGCGAACCAAGGCTGATCTACGCCCCTTTAGTTCCATAAAAGAAAAAAATCCAGACGTGACCAAGACGCCCTGTTGCAAGAAGCTGCCTGATGCCCCCCCCCCCCCCCACCTTTCCCCCGTTCGCATAACCCCTTCTCTAACCCCCACCTGCCTCTTATGAAGCAGCAGTCTCCGGGATTTGTATCTGTCTATTGTTTGCCTGCGGACTGCATGTCTCTCTTTCTCTCTTTCCTTCTTTCTTCCCCTTTCTCCCTCCCTCTGATTCGCCCTTCACCTATCCACCAGCATGTGTCTCTCACTTTCCTTCTTTTTTTCCTCTCTACCTCCCTCTCATTCGCCCTTCCCCTATTCATTCTCTTTCTCTCTCTCTCACTATTCCCTTGCAACGTCGATCGAGTTGTACGTATATAGTTGCAATAAAAGAAAAACATCTTTTATGGAAAGCGATAAAAGTGAAACCAGTCAAAACACACTCGCTCGCAGTCCAGATGAATGTAATCTGAGCGACGCCTACGTCCAATACACAGCCACAGTAGCGAAACGAGTGAAAGTAAACTTGCTCGACTACTGTTCCTCCCGTTCCTCCTCCTTCCCCGTCATTTCCATTATCTTGTGATTTAAATAACGCGCGTCTGCATGCCCGGAATAGCAAGTCGTGATTCTACTATCGCCGCTCTTACTCGTGAATTCTCTGTAAAGAGAGAGAGAGAGAGGGAGAGAGAGGGAGAGGGAGAGGGAGAGGGAGAGGGAGAGAGAGAGAGAGAGAGAGAGAGAGAGAGAGAGAGAGAGAGAGGGAGAGGGAGAGAGGAGAGAGGAGAGGGAGAGGGAGAGGAGAGGGAGAGGAGAGGAGAGGGGAGAGGGAGAGGGAGAGGGAGAGGGAGAGGGAGGGAGAGGGAGAGAGAGGAGAGAGAGAGAGAGGAGAGAGGGAGAGGGAGAGGAGAGGGAGGAGAGGAGAGGGAGAGGGAGAGAGAGAGAGAGAGAGAGGAGAGGGAGAGGAGAGGGAGAGGAGGGAGAGGGAGAGGGAGAGGGAGAGGGAGAGAGAGAGAGAGAGAGAGAGAGGAGAGAGGGAGAGGAGAGAGAGAGAGAGAGAGAGAGAGAGAGAGAGAGAGAGAGGAGAAGAGAGAGAGAGAGAGAGAGAGAAGGGAACAGACGGAGAGAGAAACGAAGAAGGGTTTTAAAAGGAATGAGTGAAGCAACTGCAAGGGACGAGGAGAGACAGGCAACCCTTGCACACAGCGAGAAGAACGAAGACCCGGGGACAAATTGGCCTGATAGAAAGTGATGGGTCAACGTGGTGCCCGGGGCATCACCTGCTATCCTGGCCTCCCTCCCCCGCCATCGAGAATGAGTCACGCCACGGACCCTCCCTCTCTCCCTCTGCCTCTGCTCCCACACACTCCCTCCCTCTCCCTCTTTCTAACTCACTTTCGCTTGGCGCCGGAGACCTTCTCTGCGTAAACGATAAATGACTGCGTCGAGTGTGCGTGGCCTCTCACGAGACCAAGCACAGAACAACTTCGGTCCCAGTGTATGATTTATCTTACGCTAGAGGTGAGACCCAGCTACTCATCTATCTGGAGGTTGTCTGGCGAGTGTAAATAACATACCTACAGTAATGACACACTCTCTAACGGCATGCGAGTTCACTCACTAATGTATCGAGTCGAACAAACAATCACTATAGATAAGCTAGAGATGACAGATAGGTAAAAGCTCATGCATGTGTACAAGAGAAGACAGTTATAATATTTCTCACGTACAGTCAGTACCTAGTCCACTCGGCATCGCGCAAGAAACACACAATTGGTTTGCGGGGCTCAGCAGAGAAATGCGATCACCCAGCAAGAAGATGCTGACATAGTACTCCATCATTGCGCTCGAGTCTTCTTTTATATCCAGAGTACACGCTCTACGAGCGCAGCGAGTGATCCATGTGGGAGACAGGAGTGCCAGTGCTCCACTCGACTTCAGTCGGAGCGGCCACTCGCTCCTCGTATCACTCTGCCGGATCACAGAGAGAACCAAATGGAGAGCTGGCCCTATGAGACTGGGAAAACAGCTATAAAATCCGTTAGAGGTGTATTCTTATATTGCAGTTCGTTCGATTTCTGATTTCCGATGTATAAGTTCTTCTATACCTATAACAAGATGCTCACCTGAGTATTTCTTATATCGAGCTAGTACATTATCCATTACACACATCAATATATGCGTACACGTGTATATCAATGATAAACTTGACCACTGGAAAAAATTATTCCTAATATAATCCATATCTAATACGTAAAACGAAAGAGTTATATATGGTATCCGATACATTAGATGCTAAATACCTTTTTGAAGACCCTGACAATATTATAGCACAGAAATAAATAAACTAAAAAAAAACCACAAGAACACAAAAAAATGCTTACCAATTAATCTATTGATATAACATTATTTCTTAGACTGGACAAATATGCATCAGAGATGTTGACGTAGTGGAAGAGTAAATCATCTTCGAGATGGAATTTGCGGCGCGCAAGAGCGTGAGAGTGCATATCTCCGGGCAGGGAGCCTACACTGAAGGCCACACAGAAGGAACTTCACACACTCTCCACTCTGTGCCTAAGTGCAAGAGGTCTCGCTCTCCCAACACGAAGACTCCGACTGAGCGCCACCCAACTGCGGCCGTTACACTGACTTGGTGATCGAGCTGCGGAGCCATGCGTAGAGACAAAGGCTCGTCTCAAGTCACTACTGGCAACGCATAACTCTGTTTCACTGTGCGAGAGACGTGCTTCAGGAGAGTCACCCCACTGCGCACTTGTAGTGGTGCTCAGAGTCGCGTTCGGATCAGCAAGAGACATTGTCATTATGCGAGATACTCCGTGTGTACAGACAGCTCATTCGTTTACAGCGTTATGTGATTGCACTCAAGGGGTTGGCGCAAAAGTTTAGATGACACAAGATCACTCGCGTGAGGCCGGCACTTGCTGTGCGAATCTTCTATCGCATCACTAGATCCGTGCCAACGAGCGAACGAATCAACTAAGGGAAGACGAAAGAAAACATACACGCTCGTGCGAGAGTATATCTTGTACTCTTCCCATATCTCCTGTTGTCTCCTAGAGCCGACGCAGCGAGCGAGCAGCTCGCTCCATATAACTTCGCAGGGCCGATCAGGTAAGTGCAAGGTCACCTGAGCAGCGTACGAAAAGAACTATGTGCACTAGTAGACACGACTATTACTCAGGTCATACGAAACAGCATTGCCACAGAAGAGGATCGTAGAGAGAGAGGAGCCACACAGATGCGAGGAGCTCACACTCTAAGTCTATATGGGGGTCCTCGACTGTCGAACGGTTGAAGAGAGGCGCAACTCGTGGTCTTGCGCGAGGGGATATTGTGAGCTTCCGGCGGCCGAAGTCCCACCCCGGCGACTTGTGTCAGCCCTGCCCTCATTGCCCTATGCTATTTTCGCGATAAGGCAAATGAGCGGGCACGATCTCTGGCTAGCCACTTGATGGCGAGAGATAAGATTGGTCTTTTCTCGGACACAGATTAGAGACTCTTGGGTTAGGCAGCTTGAGCGTCCTGCGATGACATCTGTGGCGATCTCGTATTCTGCAAGAAGCGAAGTGGACGCGTGTCTGTCATCCTCAATTATCCACGAAGAAAGAGATGGTATATACGGTGAGGGACGTCATGGAGAGCTGGTGTTATGGTCTGCAATCTTTTGCGCGCAGCGCATTGAGTAAGTATGACTGTACTTACTACGCGACCGTAGCGAGCTATTTGATCCGTCTATAAATGAGAGGCACAATATACTATGAGATTTCCAACTACTTCCTCCGTGAGCTTCTCGAGGCCTCATGTTGGACCTTGAAAGAGACAGAACACACGTCCCTCTCTGCAGAGACTGTGAGAGAAACAGATATGAGGAAAGGGATACTGCTCTCTCATGCGCATCGGGAGAGTATCACGCAATGTCTATGCCTCCGAGGCTCCTCACTCGATTACACTCGGTAGCAGTCGTACTCATGTTGCTCACTCAATCCTGTGAATGAATATCATTCACGTTGAGATCGCCACGTCAGCGCACTCCTCCCTTGACTCCGCATCGATTGATGCGCTTGAGGTATTCGGAAGTGAGTTGGCGAAGCTCATTAGTTCTATGAGGTGAGCTGCAGATATGCGAGCGGTAGACCATGCAGTCTCAGTCGTGGTGCGGAGTGAGCAAAGAACAGACACGCTATACAATGACAGACTAGACAGTCATGAGATATTAAAAAATGAGCCGACTCACGAGCGTGACGACCAAGGATCACATAATGTCAGAGTATATGTTGCCGTCACCACTCCACAGCTGGCGTACAGACGTAACCTATCTCAGTCTATGAGGAGAAAGTTGATATGCTGCACGCCCAAGCGCAGGGAGAATCTACACACATATCTCGCGTGATGTGACGAACAACCATAGCCTCGACCCTGTGCGCCCGGTCTCAACAACTCCTACACGACACTTCACATCGAGTTCAATATCTTTGCGCCACGAGAAATCTCAACTCTGCCCACACCAGACCTCTCAATGCCTTAACGTCCCTGCACATCCTGGTGGGTGATATAGGTCTAAGTTGAGTACACACTTGTCCAGTCCTGGACTGGCGTGCGTGGCACGCTTCCAGGGCACTGCCCTGCCACCATCATAGTGCGGGATTGAGTATGGGGTCTGGATGGCGGCTGCTAGCATCACCGCGACACAGGGCGCAACACCGAGATAGCGACACTTTCTCTCCCTATCCGTGCTGCTGACCTATATCGTGCGACCTAGAGAGTTACACGGCTTCGCACTTTCACTCACCACTAAATATCGAGTAAATCACAAATTAGCCATTTATAACTGGAGCTCAGCGTGTTAGATATACTGTCGCGGCCTCTAACATAATTAAGAGGCGGTGCGTCACCCTCATTCCTTATCATTCTGAGACGTGTATCTGTGATCTTCCTAGTCTGCTATCCAGCAGGGCACTCTCGAGTGATAGTCTATTCACAATCAGAACACCACATGACTCGTGCACGAACTACCCCACTGGTAAATGCGACGAACACCACCGCCCCAATTTCTACACTGGCTGGCGTTCCATCCATGCGAAAATGAGATGTGGCACGAACATTCCCTCCCTCGCCCACCACGGTCCACACCTGCCACGCGAGTGTAAGGAGTAATCGCGCGGGAATCTTGGCTACCAGGCCAGTGAGGAACTACCACTTCTTATAACACGTCCATAGTCTCCAGATGGTGGCCTCAAACAATTGACTACCATCCATGATAAGCCTCAGCGTCTCCAATCATCAATTTACACCAATGCCTCGACATATAGGCTGAATACTGACCATGCAACTTTACTCAGAGCATCGGATCATCTCTAAGGAGTTATGCGTTCACTAACAATCACTTCAGATAGTGAGCGTTCTATCCTCGCACCAATATCGAACACAAGAGGACGTAACGCACTGTAAGAATTCTTGAATAAGGAGTCCTATCTGTCTGCGACCACATCTAATTGGTCATCTCAGTCATCCAGTCACTGTAAACGTGATGAACACAGCAGTGACACGCTACAACGCACGACAAGCACGACATGTTACCGTATCGGATTCTATCGCGTTCAATGTCATTTGTGCAGCTCTGTAAAATGGCAGTGGTCCAATTATCTCTAGTCATACACGCGCTCCAGGAAATCGTTATCCTATATCTCTCTCTCCAGCCACTGAACCACGTGTCTTTTAGAAATATGCTAAATGCTATCATTTAAGCTTGTGTGATTGATTCTAGATCGATAGTGTAGTTATTTCTATCTCGATTAAGACAGATATTGGAAATTATTCCACATTAGTTGCAGGATGTAGACAGCTATTATTATTAGCAATATATAACTGTGTAGTGCAGTGCTGTTAAAATATTTACATGAATTAAACAGAATAAAGCCTACCATTACGACTTTCTAAAAACTTTTGATTAAAAATTCCAATTTATTGGTCAACAAATGTTAGTGTCGTCTGCATAAAAACGAAAATATACTCAAAAGCCAACACTTAAAGTTTTTATACTTTAAAAACAATAAGTAATAATTTTGGATGTAAATAAAGATAAGTATCACATATAAAAGACCACAACATTTGAAATCTCCAATGTGGATATTTAAGAGCCTTTCCACCCGGCCGGCAGATGGCAGCAGCGGCGCCTCAGCAGCCCCTCAGAGCGACGGAAACTCTCGAGAAGGAAGAAGTACCTCTGCCCGGAAAGAAAATCGAAAATGTTTGCCAGAACCGCACTCTCCGCTCGCAATGTCTGCAGAGCTAAGCGTAAGTATGCCCAGTGCTATTTATCAGGCGAAGAAGTGGATTTAGGAAGCTGAAGATCCCTTGCAGTGGATTTTTCTTCCCTCGGGACCGATTTCGTCATTGCTAGCCCCGATATAGAGTAGGGTGCCGGTTACTTAATTAATATTTTCCCCGTTTCTATTAAAACCTCAGACTTTGGTAAGCTATAGCTATTCAGTAGCTAATACAATAACATATTTCACTTAATTGTTGAAAGAAGTAAATTTTTTACAAGAAAAAACTACAAGTTTAGCAAATATCTATATTTAACACATGCATACGTGACTTTCTTGTCCCGGCTGCTTGCTTTAATGTGTTTGCATTATTTTATCGATTTTAGGGTGGACCAATGCTCTCGCTCTTTAGTTGTAGATAAGAATGCATTTTCTGGATACTGTAGCCTTGTATAATTGGAAAACTTGTATTTTCCGGTAGCTGTTCTCTCGGAAATCATATAGATGAGTAGATTACCTTTAGAGGTATTTTTTTTTTTTTTTTTATTTTTAAAAGTTGGGTTGATTACCTTTAGAAGTACTTGCTTTTTTATGTATTTTTTGTTAAAGTTGTGTGACCTTTAGAATGTTTGTAAGTTATTTGGTCATTATTTTCTTGGAAGATATTTTGATTTTTAGGACAAGTAGGCTTATTGTGGAAATTAAATGATGGATATTCACTTTTCATTTTGTCTCCATTGATGCAGAGTATACTGTCCTACAGAAAATGAGACTCATAGAAAACAATTTTATAGAAAGTGTCGACATTAACAAAGAACTCTGGATGTGTAAGGCTGTAGTGGACTTAGTCTCAGAGGGACACTATGCGCTGTGCATTTTTTTTTTTTTTTTTTGAAGAAGTTGGACACACCGACGCGTGTAGATAGAGATAATTGGACACTGCCATCTTACAGAGCAGAAAAATTAGTGGGATAGAACATACTTTCAGCTGCAGCGGCCTTAAAGTCACCGCTAAATGAAGAACATATAACGCGCGCATGCCTTTCAAATTCTAAGTCGATCAGCTTGTTTATCTTGCAAAGAAAAACACAACACTGAACGCATAACTCCTTAATGCGATGCTCTAATTAGTTCCAGTATTACTACGGGCATGTCAAAGCAATATTTGGCTTCTTATCAGTGTATAATGTTACACATTCATGCCTTTAAAGTGTTTCACACTTCCTTACGCCTGCTGCCAGGTTGACACCTGGTCGGCCCACTCATTTCGAGACGGAACGCCAGTTAGAAATGTTGCGTTTCCAGTGTGTTCTTCAGTCTGGGTTATTCTTAAGACTATACAGTGATAAAGAAGATAAAATACACTTCAGTAATGATACCAGTTTAATATGTGGGCCCACATATTAAACGGTTACAGTTATAATGGTATTTGGTTTGTCATTTTATAGCGTAAATGCAGCTCTATCTTGCCATATATACAGAGGTGGAGAGAATGTGTCCTGGGGGGTGTTGGGGGGCAGAGCCCCCATCAACCCTCCCCTCGGGCAGTGCCTGAAGGGCACGCCTAGTAATGGCAATTTATATTGATATATTAGGTTGGTTTATTGGTCAATACATTTTGGGGAGTTTGGAAAGTGTGAATTTCTTTAGAGTTTTGACGAAAGGTGGGTTGGGTTCCCATAGGGTTTTTGATTTCTGGTGCATCAGCCCGTAGAATTTCAAAGATGGCGGTTACGTCTGTAGAGTTTCATTGGCCAATTTTACATGTTTTTTGTGCTAGTTTTATGCATTTTTTATCTTTATGCTTCTTATTTAAGCTTGTTTTACCCCTTAATTTCCCTGATATATGCCCTCCCCTGCTAATGGGACTATCAAATCAAGATCGTCGATGGAGAGTTGGTACTCGATCTCCTGAATGATTTATTCACAGAAGAAACAACGGCGAAAATTGATGAAATCAAATCATTGGATTTCCTGCAGATTTTTTTTTTTTTTACAGTCTCTGAGAGGGTGTGTCGCACTTTGTAACAAATACTCACTAAGCTAAGACATATTGATCATGTTATTCTTATAGAGGACAAATAGTTGTAGGCGTTAGTGTTAATATAAGATATAATCTGCGGAAAAGATAGCAGAAAACACAGCTCACAGCTCTCAAGTTTCATCTTTTTCTTACCGTGTATATTTAGGTGAAGACAAGGTAATTCTTTTCAATACAGATGCACTCCAACTCTACGTCACAACATTTATTCAACAATCTAAGGTGCCATGTCTGGGTGTGCCTTATGGATACTGCCTGAGGGGAGGGCTGATGGGGGGACTCTGCCCCACAATATCCCCCCAAGGAACATTGTCTTCACCTTGCATCAAGACCACCAATTAGACTTCCACTGTGTGGCCCTTTCTGCGATCTTTTTCCTCTATTTGTGGTACCATTTGTGTCTACATGTTATTTCTTGTACCGATGACTGAAACTTAAGGTCTCTACAACAGCAGGAACAACGAAGGGAAGGACAAGAAAACTCAAATGTGTGTGTTTTCTTGTCCTTCCCTTCGTTGTTCCTGTTGCAATCTGTTCATCATGAATTCCACACAAGGCCTCTACATGAATTTTCATCAATTTGCCTAAACTTAGTGCATCCATACTGTAAAGATTAACCAAAGACAATGTTTGCTGTCAACCCTTGGGCACACTCAATCATGGGATTTAAGAGTTGAATAAAGTTTGTGATGTGGAGTTGGGGACTTTGTCTCTCTGGTGAGTGCATCCATACTGTAAAGATTTACCCAGTGGATTCCTGTTGAAAACTTATATTGTAAAGAGAGATTAATCTTTGTGGTATAGACTCTCAAAGCTTGGGCAAATTGAAGATATTTCTGCATGATTGCAATTGATATGGGTTATTCAAAGCTTATTGTCAATATTTTTTTTTTTTTTTTTTTTTTGTATTTGGTTTGCAAAAAAGTATTTAGCATTTTGATATACTGAGATAAGGATAGATAATTTCCAGTCACAAGTTCTATTGTACATTTCATTATTTGTGTTGTAATGTACCTTTCCAAAAGCTTCAGTTTAGTGTTTGGAGATATATGAAAAATCAAGAATGAATCATAATCTATTTACTTTCAGCAATGGGCCGCTCCATGGGCTCTGTCGCAGAGTTCAAGCCCCCCACCATGAGTGAGCTGCCTGTCCCACATGGATCCTGGTCTGAGGCTTACTCCAAGAAGCAGCGCATGTATAATCTTCATCTTCTTGCTGGTATCGCATTCTCTGCTGGCACAATTGTTGCCGTGAGTATCACTGATTTGAGAATTAACTCTCTTGACCTGATGGGCCACTTTCTTAGCCTTACTCATATTTTTCATGTAGAAGTGAGGAACGATTTTAAATCCTATAAATTAATCAGACAACCAAGTAGTAAGGTTACAGAGTTCTATAACATGCACAGTATAGTGTAGAAATTTTGTACTTGTTCTTGGATGCAAGATGCTAATTTTGGGATAAACTACCTCCTTCACTGAACTAGCTGGTATGTGTGAAAAGCATGTATAAATACTTGTATTCTTGTTCCTACTCTATAGATGCAATGTTGCTGGCCATCTAAGTATTGTTTATATCTTCAAATCTGATTTGCTGCATTGAATTTTACATTGGGATAAGAGAGGCAACCTCTACAATCCAGGTGACGGGACTATCGCACTGAAAAAAATTAGTTTGAGGGGTGGTTGACCTGAACATGGTGTCATGGGAAAATTTGCCTGTGGGTTGGGGTGACGGAAACTCACTTTGAGTGCACAAACCTATTGGAGGAGGATTAGACTCATTTGGTGTTAGGAAGGGCTCTTTCATTATTTCCATCAATAAACAAGAGTGGAATGTAATATCCGTGAGCCTTGACTGGAAGAGTGCCAATGTAACAGCCCAGACTATATCCACCTTCCTTCCCAGAATACTGTATTAAGTTAGGCTATTTTATACCTGGAGTATAAGTTTGGCTAGGATAGTTTATATCCCTGTGTATAAAATGGACTATCGGCTAGAATATACCCCTTCCTTTTTGCATTTAACAAGTATATACTATATTAATAGAAGATAATGGCTGGGGGTAATGCTAATCATGCAGTAATCTCACAACTGCAGACCTTCGTTGTGCATCGAATTGTACAGGCCACCATATTGAACTAACGTATTTCTGACAAAGATATAATCGAAACCGGTTAAATACATCTCTTGTATTGTGAAGATATTCGTTCTCATTCATACCTTTCCACACATATTGAACTCAAATTTGAAATACCTATTACGGTTGATAATAAGTATCATCATCATTATCATTATTAAGAAAGTTTAAATCTGGATAGTACCTGGTGAACATTCAAAACAGTCAAAACCTGATGCTTCCCCTTTGCAGTGTTTTTTTTCCCTCTCTCAATCCCCTAAACCCCAAACAGTGTAATAGGGTTTGATACATGCTTACCCTTTATGGACACATTATCGGAACATGTTAAAACATCTTTTCATTTTGTATTAGTGTTTACTTCTCCCTTGATAAACTCGTGCCAGCCAATCAGACCGCAATATTTTCCAGGTATATTTCACTCTGGCTGAAATAGGAATTGGTTTTTCATTAATTAGGTTAGGTTGATACAAAATTCTTATTTTGAAGGTGCATAAAATGTTTGTTTCTTTTTAGCAGTACATCAAATATATGATCAATCAATATGGGTAAAATTTGAATTCCATCATTTATGTTGGAACGATACAGTCAGAATTTTCAATGAGTCCGAATCATATGACATGGTATTGACTTTGGTGGTATGAATGTCTTCAAAACCATTCTGTACGTCTATGATACAACCTTACAGGCTCAAAATTATCAGAATAGATTTTGTATCTTCATTTTCTATATAATTTGATTAATAAAACAAGTAAATACCTCTGATCATTGGTATTATCTAGTTATCTGTTTTGGACGCAGCTCGCTCACGGTGGATATAAGATGCAAAACCTCGTCCAATATCCACTTTTCATATGAAGAACAATGTATATAACAACAAAATAATGTTTTGACTGAATCTAAGAAATACATTTGAAAGTTTCCAAAGCGAAAAAAGTGTGTATAAACAGTCATAAAAGAAATAATTCCTCTTTTTTCAAAACTTTGTATGTCAGTGCAAACTTTGGTGATGATTGAGTTTTATAGCGACCATGGCACAACATCAAATGTGTATCAAAATGTTTGGAGTTTTGGGGTGCTCCAAAAAAGGCCTATAGTCTTGTTACCACAAGACAAAAAATGCAGTGGAGCATGCATTTGTACATGCACCTCTGATATCAGTGGGTTCTGTATTTAATGCAGTGGACTTTATTGATTTTTGTGTTTGTTCTACAACAGATGCCTTATTCTTCCATAAGTTATGGCATGTTAACAGTAGAAACAAAAAATTAGCTTAGTGTCATTTGCATAATAGCTTCACTTTATGCCATATTTCTTGAATATTTCACCATACACTAAAATCACATTGCTTATATATGTCAACAGTCTAAAGAAAAAAGTGAACAAAGATGGCAGAGCAAAATTGCAAAGGAGTTAGTAAAGTAAGCAGAGATTATTGACTCAAAGAACAGACTACTGTGAAATTACAAATGTATGGTTACTGTGGAATTAAAGAATGCTGTGACTTAATGGAATTTTAGCTTGAAGTAACATTGTTACTATTTTGTAGGGTTGCTTAAACTCATATCACCTAGTAAGAAGGAGTTGCTTATCCACCCCAAAGAACCACAAATGCTCCAACAACAGCAATTGAGTCTTGAATTTTTGTTTCACGAAGGCAATTTTTACATGCTAGCATTTCAAGATCTTACACCAGCATCAGACTCCATCCTTCTGTTTTTCTCAATCATTTTCTCAACCATACCTGTATTCACTCCACCAGTACATGCATTCATACAGATGGCTCCAGAATCCTCTCTGGTACTGGTATTACTGTAATATTTCCTTCCCATACTTTAAACTTCCCACTTCCACCTGAATCCTACATCCTTACAACAAAATTATATGCAGTCATCTTTGCATTAGAACTCCTGTCTTCCCTCCCTTCTTCATCCTTCACAATATTGACTCCAGAAACTCATTATCTCTCATACAGTCTGCACAGCCAATTAGTCCTCTTGCCCACAAGATTCAGGTCCAACTGTTCCATCAGTCCATTACTCAAAGTTGTCAGCTTTTGTTAGATACCCAGCCACATAGGGATCCCCAGCAAAGTACAGGCAGATACTTCAGTACACTTTGCCACCTTGTCCACATCCCATTCACCCGAATTTTCATGTATACCAGCCACTGATTAATAGCCTTATTTCAAAACCTTCCTCTATATCTGCTGACTGTCTTTCTGATCTAGTCTTGCCACCATTAAACTACATGCCCTATTTCCCCTTGGTCAATTCCATTTCATTAGAATAGACCCTGGGGAAACTGCGCTTGCCTGATTACATATTGGGTACTCTTGCCTCACACATTCCTATGTATCACAAACTGATAAAATTCTATGATGCTCCTGCACTGTTCTTCTTTCAGTCCCACACCTATCATATCCCTGCTTTACAGCAACCTGTATCTTGGCTTTTCCTCACTTGCCGTCACTCCCATGAGCCCCCAACCTGTTAGACAACCTCTCGGTATCCCTTACTTTTTCCTTAGACAACTTGTACTCCTACTTCAGATGCATAAACATCCTCCATTTAGTCTAATTGCCCATTGCCTTAACTACTCCATCCTTATAACAATCATTACCTTCTATTATATCCCATCAGCTCCCCCTTTCTACCCCTTTTCACTACCATACTATCGTATAGCGAGTGCTGTTCAACCTCATACACCAGTTCATTGAATTTATTTCACAACAGCTGATTACAGGGAAGTGGAGACTGATGCAATGACTTTTCTTAAGGTTTCCATTTGCTTGATATCTCCATTTATTTTGATGTAGATAATGCTAAAATAGATGAGCATATATTAAACACTTCTATAAAATACAATGTTTGAAAAGTTATTGCAGTTAACACTCAATTATGAATTAAAGTTGAAATAGATTAAACATCCTAAATAAAACATATGAAGCAACAAAACCCTGTTTTTATCATGTAAAACTTTTTTTCCGGTCATAAATATCTAGATGCATGAATAGTAAATACACAATATGCTAGGAGGTATACATAATAGTGTGATGTTAATGAGCGGGAATGTAGGAGAGGAAAATATTTGGGGCTTAGGTAGATGACATATTCCATACAGTACTAGAATTTCTAAGTCGCATTTACTACATTCCATTTACAAAAAGGAAGAGGCAGGAAAACATGACTGCATGAGTAGGTAATGGAGAGGGTAGCCTATGAGGGTATGAGGTTGTGAGGGTAATATTGTGGATGTGGCTGGAGAAAGTTTGCCAAACAGCACCATATATTTTAGTGGATGCTAAAGGTCTCATTAATAAGGAAGATGTTTGTAATGATGGTAATCATGGTAAAATCATGGTAAATAGTAAAGCATGCATATTATATAGTTTGTCATGGTTGTAATAAGTAGGACTTTCAGGATTAAATGGTCACCATACTTCTGGGACCAAAACTACAGTCCAGTTTCTTTCAGAATTGGTGTTCAGGTAATGACGTTCTTCCTGCAGTAAATGAGTGTGTTTAAAGGTTTAGACTTTGTTATAAAAACATTTCATTGACTTTCATTGACCAGGGCATCAGATTGCTGTAACTAGCCCAGATTTTCATGATATGTATTCAGTAATATTGTTGGAGGAAATATTATGAATGCTGAGATATTGGTATTTGTTTAGAAAATGTAAGTAAAAGTAATGAAGATTTTCAGCAGTCATTTAGGAATGCAGTAGACAACCTAACTGTTCCATTTCCAGTATTTAGAGATATCGCTTTTGTGATTGGAAATCAACTCTGTAATTTTCTTTTTCTTTTTCAGGCCAAGAACTCTGGATTGGTTGAGTTTGGCTGGGGACCTAAGATCGGCAATTAAATGTAGGGCAGGAAAAAAAAAGAATGTACATACACCAGGAGTTCATTGAATGTAACTCTCAACATCTGATTACAGGGAAGTGGAGACTGGTGCAATGACTTTTCCTAATGTTTCCATTTGGTTGACATCTCCATTTCCTTTGATGTAGATAATGCTAAGACTGTAAATGTGGTTGTAAGTTATTGTACTTCTGTCATAAATAAACTTCTGATTTAATTTTGATATTTTTTGTCATTTCACCTACCAGCAATATTTCAGGCAGTTAACATGGTCACACATTGCTGTACAATATAATTATCTCCTTGGATGTTGAAAGAGACCAGATTTTAAGAATTTTTCTGTGATTAGATTAAAAAAAAAACAGGTCACTGGTAAAGCTGAAGGATGATTGCTTGTAGAGCACACTATTTTTCCAAACTAACACACATGAATGACTAAAGCTTTGAGTATCATGTCAACAACTGAAAAATTTTGTTGTTTTCTGTTATTTAAAGCAGTCTACAATGTACAATGAATGGAAAAGCATATATGTGACTTGTTATTTGAAGGCAAACATGGCATGGTTTATTTATCTGGTTTAGATGATTTTTTGATCACTTTTATGTAAAAATGTTTTCTTTTGCATATTTTCACTATAGATAAACCCTGACCCTTTAGGATTTTATGAAGACAATGGTGTCATGCTTGATTGAAATAATCCTGAACACAGGCAGAAAGTGTAGTAACTGACTTGACCTTGGCCAATGAATTTGTACAAATCTGCAGCTTCTTGTTTTTTATTTCATTTTTAGATATATGAAAAAGAAGGAAAGGGTAAAATAAGAATTTGTATATATCCACTGTCTGTAGCTTGTTTTTTCATTTAATTTTCAAATTGGAAAAGAAAAGAAAAAAAAAACATAACATATAATTTAGAGGTCAAACCTTCCCTTTCCATAGTTTGCTCTAAAGGTCTGTTAACATGAAATTGCAGGATTGGTGGGCAAAAAAGCGGGCACCTGCAGTTATTGTGCATTCTACAAACCACTTTGCTTAGCAGACAAGAGCATGAAAGAGTTGAATAATATATTTTTTTTTGTTGCAATCATCATAGCCTGGCTTCTGAATATGGCCCACATCTGTTTCCTCTTGAAATAATAGGATTATTGGGTAATATGAGGAATATGGTGCATATTACTTAGCTATGCTTTTGATTAAGGCGCATTTCTGCATTTGGGGGATAGCAGTATATAAAATAGCCAGAAATGCATTATTTACTATTTTTCCATTGCTGAGTAAAGGAGATTTGAGTCTCTCCTGTACACAAAGTGCTGAATTTTCATTAACAGTCACTCTGAATCTATAAAAAGCATTTTACTAATGTTGATTAACATAGTGTAAAGATCATGAAAACTCAATATTGTTATTTTATGGTAGTTATAAATGACTGTATTATCTGTGGCATTTATGTTTTTATTCAATATTATTCTTATTCCACGTATTATAACGAATGTCACTGCCTCTGTAATGAAGAATGACGTCTCAGTATTTGAACTGTATTCATGTATTCATGTTGACAAATGTAGAAAGGTATTCGAAACCGTTCAAATACATCTCTTGTATTGTGAAGATATTCATTCTCATTCATACCTTTCTGCAGGCTCAGGATTTCTTGATATAAGCAAAAAATAAAGAAAGATGATGAAAGGATACATGAACCCCAAATTTTTATGCAGGAGGAAGAAAATTGGCCCTTTCTTGCTGCTGACTCAGGGAGCCACATTTTCTCATATCTAAAAGATCCAAAATTAGTATTCCAAAAAATCAAGTTTTCTATACCTTAGTACTCTACGATAGGTTCCTCACTACAATATGCAATTATCTATTACATAGCCAAAAATGTAATACATTTAGTGATTGTAGCAGACAGAACGTCATCACAACGGAAATTTTATACTATGTCACTTCAGCTGGGGCTTCCAGTTGGGCATCACCAAAGGCAGAGCAACAGTACCATAGAGTGACCTTAAACCTCAAGCTCTGCAGTAACTTACTGTGAATAGTCGTATATTTTTTAGATAAATCAAGTTTACAGGTTTACTGTCATATTTTCTTAAGGTATACATCTAATACATTTTCTATAATGAGGTGCAGGTGGATTCTATGTTATTGAATGATGTTACATTATTTGCTTAATAACATATCCATTATGTATTGTTTATGCAGTGCAATGAACAAGAGAGTAACGCACTGTTGCTGTAATCAAATATTCATCTGTTTATGATAGTGTATTGGTCAATTTTATTATATATATATTTTCTTTATCTATTGTTTAGAAAACAGCAGAAGTGCTGCTACAGAAAGGCGGATAGCCCTGCTCGATGGGGGAAGGCTAGATTAGTAGCAACTCGAGGAGGTGTCATGGCGTCTGATTAAATTTTTGGAAAAAAGTACATAGGGTTTATTTTGATAACGTCACAAAAGTTACGGATCATTTTGGTGTTTTCAGTTTCCAAAAAGGATGGCAAATAATGATTTTCATGGTTATAGCATCATTGAACAATCATCAAAACAGACGTCATGACACCACCTCGAGTTGCTACTGATCCAGCCTTTCCCCTGCTCGTAAGGTTCCGAAAGTGGTCTTGTTGTCCTGCTGCTCCTGAGAAATTATTTTTATTATCATAAAAATAATAATAACTTCTTTTTCTGTTACTATTGCTCTTACTGTTATAATCATTGTGGTTATTATGGTTGTTATTGCTTTTTAAAATAAATTAGTGTTGTTTTTCTGTTTTGTTGTTACTATAATGGTTGTAATTGCTGTTATCTTTAAATTTTGTACTGTTTTGTTGTAATTAACTATTACTACTACCATTACTATTACTATCACTATCACTGCCACTGCTGCTGCCATTATTGTTTTCTTTTTATATTTTTTACCTTGGGTATTATAATTATTTTATTTATTTACGCATTATTATTGTTGTTGCTATCATCATTAACATTACCATCATTATTACTATTATTGATATTGCTGTTATTGATATAGTAATAATAATTATCATGATCATTATCATCATTATTTCATTTACTTATTTTGTATTATTACCACGCACATTATCATTAACATTTTCATTATTATTACTGTTATTATTGTTGTTGCTATTATTATTATCATTATTATTGTTGTTTTATTAACATTGTTAATAATGTTGTTGTGGTTAACATCATCATTGTTTTTTCGTTGTTTCATTACCATCAATTAGTAAAACGTAAGTATTTAGTTTCATAGTCATTTCTGATAATGGCGTTACATATTCATATATTATTTCCATCATTGAAATGATAATTATATTATTATTTCTGCAATATGTTTTGCTGTTCGTATTGGCTCATTATTACTTTTTGTGGGTTGTTCGTATTGTTGTATAGACTTAAGCACTTTTCGTACTTATTATAACGTTGCCATCAAGTCGGTATCATTACCATCACTATCACTGTAACCATTATCACCAAGTGTCGTAAACTGTCGCCATCGTATAGGAATAGCAATTTCTATAATGATAAATGGACCACCTAATCAGACTGCGGAAGCCTTTGAAAGTGGTTCGACTGACTTGAAACCTGGAGATTCTTTCTTCAAGACTCTGATTCGTTCATAGGATAGTTTAACGACCATGCTTATGAAGTTGAAGGCTCATTACAAATACTGGTCTAGTGAAGAAGTTGGTGTTCATGGTCTATAAAAAGACAAAACCATGAAGAAGTGGGTTAATAACTACGCATGGTAAAAATCTCTACCTTGTTGATAAAAGGGCGGGGAGAAAATCACAAAAGTACATTTGGAGATATTTCATAAACGTTTTGTATATAGTGGGTTAGATTCACATAAAGCAAGATTAATAACTACGGTGCTCTATCGACCCATTAACAAGATACAAAGAACATCCGAATAAGGCGATAAGCTGAAAATAAATGAATATCAGGATTCAGTCTAGTTGCCGATAACATGTTTGGATAACATGCCTCGTGTTCATTCTGCAATTGATTAAAGAAAAAAGTTGGTAGGGGGAATGGTTAACGTATTTGATTTTACCGTCTTCAACGTTAAATATTCAGGTGTGTGGTTTCTTCGTCTTTAAATAAATGCATGGATTGATTTCGTAAACTGTCTTGTGATAGACTTGTCGTGGCGTTAATAGCTTGTCGACATATATGCGTGATTTCTGGATAGTCATTCTCATGCCAAATCTCGCTCTCCCACTTTGTATCAGTTACTAAGTTCGTGATTTAGGAAGTAACCAATATGGAAATGTTTAGCGCAGAGTATTAAATACGTCATTATCTCAAGAAAATGTAAATGTTCTAATCTTTAGGTCGAACAAGAGAACATTAGCATCGCATTCCAGGTCAGTTTACACCTAAACGTAAACTATATGCAGGCAATACACAACGTTGATGAGACCACATCCTGGTTCTAACAGTATACTTCAACCATTAAATAAACACAAAATGGCCCACTCTTGGTTGTAATAATTATAAATACCGTGTATTATTGAAGTGTCTTCCGGTTGTCAACTATGTGAAAGCAAAGAAATTATCAGGATGAGTAAGAATTAACTCATGATAGATACTAGTATTCAGCTGGTGTGGCAGTGTTATCGTTACTTTTGTCGTCAGATTAGCTTTGTTCCAATTGATTAATGATAGTGATATTAATTTTATCAGTGAATCATCACGATAGATACATATTGCAGTATAATAAAAAAGAACAATGATCATCATAATCAGGATACCACTAATACAATTTATTTCGGTAACGGAAAGTGATACCACTACCGCTGAAAGGGTAGTATGGTTAATACCATTGTTATTATTGCTTCTGTCACTTTGCTTATAATATACAATAGACAGCTTAAGAGCAAGCACTACAATCATGATGATCATCTGTTCCACCACCAACGCACACAGTTCAACAAAAGAAATGTTCCTCATCAACATAAGGAGGGCACACAGGAAGGGGCCAGTTTCTCTTCTTAAAGTGTCGTCTCTTAGAGTTAATTTGAATACTTCAGTTTTTTTTTTTTTTTTTTTTTTTTTTTTTTTTTTTACATTTGGTAATCATGTTCGCACGTCTGTGTGAAATTGCATTTGGTAAACTTTCAGACAGGGTAGAGGGGTAATATGTACAGCATTTCAAGTAAATACAGATGCATGTTAATGAAAATATCATGTTTTTTCGTCTATTTATGTTTTACTAATTGACCGTAATATTCGAATTGTAGGTTAAAACAATGTGAATAATGCTAACTATGAACAACTATGAACTATGAGCGTTCACCATTTTCCTCCCTCTTACTGGGACGTTTTAGACATATTTTGACCTTAAACATCGGTTACATCACCTCATCACAGCGCGAAGGTACACGTATAAACACTCAACGACTTCTTAATCTGCCAACCTTGCTGTTTCACGTTAAGCCGGTGTTAGGTGCACGAAGCCCCGCCTGTGTGGGAAGACTTAATATTTTACCGACACAACGCGCGTGTTATAACGTCCCTCTATTCTATATGCTTGTGCTTCGACTGGACTGAAATACTTTGAGCTGTGTTTAGTATATGCGCGCAGTCGTTGGAAGTGTTCGTTGGTGTCCGTTAAAGCTCAACCTCAAGGACGAATGATCCTGGAATTCTAGTCATGGTAGCAACTTTGTCCTGTCGTCCAGAAAGAAGAACCTTGCTTCTGGGCAATTTTCTGGGCTTCGTCGAGGTCACATAGATATTACATAGTAAACAATATGGGCTACTGTACTGTAAATGTAGATCTCGGCATGCGTGCTACTACGTGCATTGTATATATATATATATATATATATATATATATATATATATATATATATATATATATATATATATATATATATATATTATATATGTGTGTGTGTGTGTGTGTGTGTGTGTGTGTGTGTGTGTGTGTGTGTGGTGTGGTGTGCGTGAATACATCGAGATGGTAGGTGTTTGGTATCCTGTCTGTATTCCGTCGGTTTTAACATTTAACAGAGGAAGGCCACAGATCCACTGTACATTTGGGACCACATTGAAGGTTACAAGTGACATCTCTGCATAATTATCTAGCTCCTGACAAATCAACATAAGCTCGCCAACTTCTGCCTCATTCATAACACGCCAAAAGTACAACTTACAAAAAACTTATCAAAACATACCGTAGGACAGAGGTCGTCAGCCTATGGCATGAGTGCCAGACTTGGCACGCAGAGCGCTTGTCTATGGCACGCCATGTGATTCAGAGGACCAAAGAAAAAGGTAAACAGCAGGACAATATGGTGAGTATAAATCTAAAATTATAAAACATACATATATATATATATATATATATATATTATATATATATATATATATATATATATATATATAATATATTTTTTTTTTTTACAAGAATAATAAATGCTACAAAGATATTACATTTGCGTTATGCATGTGTAGGAAAGTACATCTGGGTATACAGTGATAAAAAAAAAAAAACTGGCACCCAAGATTATCAATAAGAAGGCATTAATTATCAACTGGCACACTATGTTCAGAAGGCTGCCGACCCCTGCTGTAGGACATAGGTCTTCTTAAAAGCTGTGCAGGTATTTAGTCACGTTTATATCGTCGCGTGATATCACTAGATTTATAAAATGTCTGCCTTTTACACCTACACACCATCTATTTTTCCTTTGCAGCGCCGCAAGTCAACACGGCGAGATAAGATAAGATATGAAAAGATTACAGCCAAGATGACTCCGTAGACACCGCCATTCCGGCAGTATCTGTGGCTCAGTGTGACGCCTCTTGTGTAAATTCTGCTTTCACATCTGTAAGTAGGTTTGTTACTTCGGATCTGTTTCGTGTGATTTTTCTCTTCTGCGGGTAGGCCTATTAGAGATTTTCAACTGAGGATTAGAAGCGAAAGATTTCTCATTCGTGCATATACATCACAACACTCATTATGAAGTGATAGTGATACTGTTCGGACGTTTTCATTCAACTTTGAAATGTTATATTTTTTGTAGATATTTATCTGTTTATCTATTCCATATCGCTTATTTGGAGTGTCTGGATTTACACATGCACTAACAGAGTATATTCATGTATCAAAGTTATCAAATAATCTATATACACACCATGACGTAAACGCATGTCGACTGAAGCTGCATTCTTCCTTGGGTTCTGAACACGGCGAATGATAAAAAGCCTTTTCAGTCTACGAACACACAGCAACCAGCGGAGTACCTCATGGATGGGTCTTGGCGCCGATTATGTTTACTATTTTCAATCAATGATTTAGGCTCAAAGGGGTAGTTATTTGAATGTGTTTACAGACGACGCGAGAGAGCAAAATGATGTTAGACATCTCACGCCAAAACTCCCAAAGGGATATCGATAACATTCACATGTATTTAGAAAACGGAACGCACACGAATAAATGCCACGTAGTTAGGTTCGGCGGAAGTAAAATTCGACCCCCATACCAGTACAAGTTACGACACTCAGTATTTAACACAGAAGATAGGAAAAATGGGAAAAATGGCCTTGGAATAATCATAAGCCAAAGGATCATATACATTAGGAAGGCCCATAAAATGTTTGGTTTGATTGCCAACATCTAGAGGGCATTCGTATATGCGAACGAAGATATATTAAAGATCATTAAAGTCATCATGAGATCTAGCCCAGAGTACGGTGCAGTGGCATAGATATAGTTCAAAGAGCAAGATTAGCACCAACTTAAGAGATATGAACTACGAAGGTAGACTACAGAAAATAAGACTACTTAGGATGAAAGAAGGATAAGGGCGAGAGAAAGTGAAAAGTTGAAAGTAAAAAGAAGGGATAAGGATGTCTAAAAGTTGTTTCCCTAACAGAGCTATTGAAACATGGTACAGCTTCCCAAATATCTTGAGATGTGCCAAAATAAGAATCAATTTAAAAAGTTATACGATACTTCAAATATAGCAGATATTTAATATAACCTAAACCTAAACCTAAACCTAAACCTAAACCAAACCAAACCAAACCAAACCAAACCTAACCTAACCTAACCTAACCTAACCTAACCTAACCTAACCTAACCTAACCTAACCTAACCTAACCTAACCTAACCTACCTAACTAACCTAACCTAACCTAACCTAACCTAACCCTAACCTAACCTAACCTAACCTAACCTAACCTAACCTAACCTAACCTAACCTAACCTAACCTAACCTAACCTAACCTAACCTAACCAAGCTTAGCTCTTCTCTCGTCCTAAAACAACTAGGTATGTGTGTATGTGTGTGTGTGTAATTATGTATTTATTTATTTATCTGTCTATAATGGGGATAGAACATGTGTAAGCGTGTGAATATATTATGTATAGATATGCACATGTGAATATTTTTGTAACATGAGAATAAGTACATTATGTATTTTATCACTTTTACCAATTAGCGAAATACCTGGAATATTTCCCTCGTGAACAAGCCACAGGAGCTAGGCATTAACATGTGTGCAGCATTATATTTCTTCTCGTGACAGCATACTTTAAGGTAGAAATTGGTGAAAGTTGTCGGCTTGTTAGTGGTCCCAGCGGTCGGCTAAGCGATGCTCGTGTGTGTGTCCATCATCTGTTATATAATTGCTTTTTTTACGCCGGAGAATTTCTGTTTGCAAGAACAGAAGGAAAATCTTTGTCATGGCGTCTAACAATTTGCACGCGGAATGTTGATGAACTAGAAAAGTAGCATCATATCGGTTTGGTTCGATAAATAGTGATAATGATGATAATGATCCTTGTCGTTATGATAATGATAGTAATGAATGTAATAGATGATAATGGTAAGAATGACAATACAAATAATTTCACAAATAAAATGCACATTGAGATCATATAGTAAGTGATGGCAACAATAATATATTAACAGAAATTTAATACAAAAGATCGTTCAGGCTGAATGAAAAAAAGACACAAATCACAGAAAACATCAACGAACAGAAACAAACCTCGCTTCTCATGAATATCCAGGTCATGAGACTCACCTGCATGGCTCATAATTACAGGAAATCTCTTGTAATTAGCAAAGTTTGGGTCGGACGCGCGTTAAATAGGTTTGGTCGGCGCCACACGGTCCACGAGGCGCAGGACACAGCTGCTGCAGGACGACTCACTTCAGATGGCTCGTCCGTCTCTGCGTTTCTCCGGGCTGGGGCTCGGCGTGGGGGTGGTGGGGGGGTGGGGGTCAGGTGTTGCTTGTGCCTTGGAGTTGAGTCATGATACGTCTTTGGTATGTTTATATATACATATGTATATATATATATATATATATTATAATATTAATATATATATATATATATAATATGTGTGTGTGTGTGTGTGTTTACACACATTCATATATATATATATATATATATATATATATATATATATATATATATATATATATATATATAATGTATGTATGCATGTATGCACACACACATGCACATATATTCGTATATATGAATATGTGTATATATATATATATATATATATTATATATATATATAGCTATTTATATTGATGTATGTATGCATACACGCACACATTTATGTATATGTGTGTGTGTATATATATGTACATGTGTGTGTATGTGTGTGTGTGTGTGTGTGTGTGTGTGTGTGTGTGTGTGTGTGTGTGTGTGTGTGTGTGTGTGTGTGTGTGTGTACACAGACACATACACGAACCTACACAGACGCGCACCCACAGGCTCTCGCCCCACGTCAATACACGTCACCCCCGCAGTTGAGCGCCAGTTGTTTCAAACAGACCAAGCAGAACAGGCGGTCGTTTGGTATTGGGATCAGCAAAACGCCAATTAGTTTTAAATATCGCAAGCAATGAACTGGCCAATTTTGTATTATATGTTTTTTTTTTTTGTATTTTAAAGCCATTTCATAAAAAGGAAATTTTAAAAAGTAATAATGATGATTTTTTTCTATTGTCATACGAAGAGCGACAGAAAAAAAACGTGTTATTATTTTTAAACATGTATTTTTATCATTTTTTTCATATACCGCAGTGCCTTACCGGTTTGTAATCCAGTTCTAACTCCTTTCAGTGTTATTTGTCTTACTTTTTCCTTGTCTCTCTATTTAATTCTGCCAAGGTTCCTCCATCGCTTAAAAAAAGTGCTTACGTGTATGGCATAAGGGTCGTAATCGTTTCACATTTTAATTTTCCGTATTGTCATTTTTTCATTGTTTATATCAGGTTTAATATTTATTATTGATATTTATTATTTATTATTATTATTATAGGTGTATTATTAGTAATGCGGAAGAACGTGGCTTTAGTGCACTCTTTTCTCTCTCTCTCTTTCAGTCTCAATCTCTCTATCACTTTCTGTCTCTCACTCTCTTTCAGTCTCTGTCTCTCTCTTTCTTTCAGTCTTCTTCTCTCTATTACTTTCTTTCTTTTTTTTCAGTCTCTATCTTTCTTTCAGTCTTTTTTTCTCTCTATCACTTCTCTTTTTTTTCTTTCAGTCTCTCTTCTCTCTTTTCTTTCAGTCTCTCTCTATTACTTTCACTTTCTTTTTTTTCAGTCTCTATCTTTATTTCAGTCTTTTTCTCTCTATCACTTTCTCTCTTTCTTTTTTCTTTAAGTCTCTCTCTCTCTTTCTTTCAGTTTTCTCTCTCTCTCTTTCTTTCTTCTTTCTTCTTCTCTTCTTTCTCTCTCTCTCTCTCTCTCGTCTCTCTCTCTCTCCTTTTGTCTCTTCTCTCTCATCCTTCTCTCCCTCTCGTCTCTCTCTCTCTCTCTCTTCTCTCTCTCTCTCCTTCTCTCTCTCCCTCTTCTCCCCTCTCTCCCCTCTCTCTCTCCCTCTCCCCCCTCCTCCCTCTCCTCTTCCCTCTCCTCTCTCTCCTCTCTCTCCTCTCTCTCTCTCTTCCTCTCTCTCTCTCCTCCTCCTCTTCTCCCCTCTCTCTCTCTCTTCCTCTCCCGCCTCTCTCTCCCTCTCCCTCCCCCCCCTCTCTCCCCCTCTCCCTCTCTCTCCCCCCTCCCCCTATCTCTCTCTCCTCTCACACAACACACACACACACACACACACACACACACACACACACACACACACACACACACACACACACACAGCTCCACCTCTCTCTCTCTCTCTCTCTCTCTCTCTCTCTCTCTCTCTCTCTCTCTCATCTTCTCTCTCTTCTCTCTCTCTCTCTCTCTCTCTCTCTCTCTCCCCTCCCTCCCTCTCCTCTCTCCCCCCCTCTCTCTCTCCCCTCTCTCTCTCCCTCTCTCTCCCTCTCCTCTCTCTCTTTCTTCTCTCTCCCCCCCCTCTCTCTCTCTCTCTCTCTCCCTCTCCCCTCTCCATCTCCCTCCCCCTCCCTCTCTCCCCCCTCTCTCTCTCTCTCTCTCTCCCCTCCCTCTCTCTCTCTCTCTCTCTCCCCTCCCTCTCCTCTCCCCTCTCTCTCCCCCTCTCTCTCTCTCTCCCCTCTCTCTCTTCTCTCTCCTCTCTCTCTCTCTCTCTCTCCCTCCCTCAGAAGATGCAGCCAAGTAGCGGACGGGAAACTCCGAGCCGGCAATAAAGCACAGGGAATGAGTATGAAGAAACTCATCGAAGTTTTGCTCTCTTTCCGTCCATTCCGGTAATCTTCCTCGTAATTTCTTCGGACCCTGTGATGTCGTTTGGGAAGAGGGGGGGCGAGAGAGGGAGGAGGGGAGAGAGGGAGGGAGGGAGGGAGAGAGAGGGAGGGAAGGAGGGAGGGAGGAGGGGAGAGGAGGGAGAGGGAGAAGGGAGGAGGGAGAGGGAGAGGGAGAGGGAGAGGCGAGAGTGAGAGGGGAGAGAGAGAG